CAGATGATTAAATCTTTTAAACACCTTTACCTCTAAAATTTCTCAATTTATGTGTCTTTTATAAACATAAGAAGGGTTCAAAATTTCCAAGGAAGAAATATTGACAAAAAAAAGTTTGGTTTTGGTTCAATTAACGTAAATATATATATATACCAACTTCATTACGTTGTCAAGTGAATGGATCGTGGAAGGAGACATATTCAACCTAAGAATTATGACAAATTTGCTATCGCAAAGAACAGATCGTGCCTTTAGGTGTTCAAGGTCTCATATGTCTATTATCCTCGTTGCTTCAGAGACTGAAACTTTATTTTGGGTTATGTCATATGTATGTTGGAAAATAGTTACGATTGCTACGAGATTTTGACAGATTTCTCAGATCTTGTCGACATCGTTCTACATCTCCAAGAGTGGTCTACTTTCTCCATTCTATCATATAAGTTTAGAGAGTTACACGCTTGTTTCTCCCTTTTTTTCTTTGTTTTTGATTTCTCGTCCAATTAATTTTAAAACACACTACTCGACCCTTTCACCTCGTATTAGATATATTGAATTTTTTTTGTAAACAATTCACAACCTAATTAGATTATCAATTATGGTGACATATTTTAATTAATAGTTTGATTGAAAAAAACACAGTATATATAATATTCGATAACACCAAAATATAAATATTATATTATGTTTAAAATTTTATTTACGTTAATAAATGAGATTATTTTTTCTAATAAAAAAGTAAAAATATTTATTTTCACAAAATCGATAATTTATATATATAAGTTATTATTCAGTTTGAAAGAGGGTATTTTCATAAATTAGTATTCATAAAATTGTAGTATCCACATTTTTTTTTAAAGTGTAGTATTGTAAGAATTCTTAAACTTTTGATAAAAAAAAGAGAGTGTAAATTGTAAATTTCCGCTTGTTTAAGATCCGAATTATTTGTCAATGATATGGTTTCATAGATGCACAAAGTCTAAGTGAGATTTTATCCCCATCAAAATTTGGTTTGGACTAATGATGCCTCCAATGAAGTGGGCAATGCCAATGGTAAATAAATTTATACACATAATGCATTTAGTATAAGCATTAAGATCATTTAACTGTGCTTATTTTTTAATCTTCTCTATCAACGTCGCTATAAAATATATTATTCCGAATTTCAAAGGTGTGATCCTTTCAATAGATGAGAAAAGATTTTCTTTACGCCATTTAAACACCAGTTATAGATTCCACAACAAAAGCTCACTAAAGCTTTATCATTTCGGACAAATTTGCTAGTTTGATTTGTATTTTTAACCTTAATTTGTCTACACTTCACCTTCAACGTAGTCATCATTAATTAGGGGAAAACAACATACTGAGTAAAACCATAGAAAAAAACATTGATTAAAACAAAAAAAAAAAAACATATTGAAGAGGAGAAACATGGTTGAGATCAATCATGTTGTTTGCATGAAACTTGGTAAAAACCATCGAGCTCTAGAGAGTGGAGCGGACGAACGATCAAATTTGTGAACTAGCTCCATCTTCTGCGTCTCGAGATTGAAAAACAAGATATCAGTTGCGTTCTTTCCATACCTATGACTGAAATAGATGGAATTTCTATTGAATCCCTCCATGTCTTTAGCGAGCACAGTGATGCCTAGATCCAAAAGCATTGCCTCGTCACCCAACGAATCAACTTGTTCAGGTTTATTCCAAACCCCTGATGAATAAAACTTGGAGACGCGAAAGGACCATATTCTAGACCTAGGTCTTAACATTTTCTCAACTTTGAGGACATCTCCTGTTACCGTGACTACAAGTTTTGTGTCGCAAAAGCGGTCCATGAATCACTTGCATGACGGTGACGACGAGGATGATGAACTAATTCAAAACTATCAAACATAAGACCACATTCAAATGTTTGTCGCGGAGTTTCTCTAGTAAAATCGAAGATATGGTAACCACCAAAGTAGCTTAAGAAGTAAAGCTTGTGATCCTTGTAAACCATGTGTAAACAACAATTAATTTTGGGGATTTGACTCCACGAGGTGTCTCCTTTCTTGGCATAAAATACACACCACTCTCCAAGTCCCCATACAACTACGTAATCTTTAGTTTTCTCATCAATCCACAACACAGGGGATTGTATAGTAACACCTCTATATTGCCTTCGGCTTGTAATCAAAAACGGTTGTTGTTTGAACTTTGANGGTCCAATGTGTGACTCGGTAGATGGTAGATCATCGATCCTTTCTTGCGAAAATAGATTCACAACGTAGAGATTATACCGAGGATCTCGCATCAAGAGCCAACTTTCATAGGATGCTACACAAACACTCTGGGCAAATTCAACACCAAGATCTTGTGTTTTGTAAAGTTTGTCCTTTTCCTCCGGATTAAACAAGGTGCAACAATTGTTATTGTTCTTGTTTTGGTCGGGGAAGAGAATGAGCCAAGGGATGTGATTTTGGGGCACATATTGTCTTGAAGCAGAGTACCAAGACGAACATACCGACTTACCTCGTTGGAAATCAGCAAAGCCGAGACGTTTGAACACCGAACTCAAGATATCAAGAGGAAGCTCCGACCAGGATTTGGGTCGTGTATCTTGTATAAGTTGCTCATGAGAATTAGGGTTACGATTCACCACCATCTCTATGCCAAACTGAAAAAGAGATGTTCTAAATAGGACTCATTGAGTGTTATATTCGTATTTATATAAACCCTTTAGGAATGCATTGTTAGTGACGCGTTGGGTTTTCTTTAGGGTTTTTCTAATCAATTATTTTGATTTAAATAGTTTTAATTGTAGATGATAATAAGTCTATTTTCCTATAGATTTATCATGTACAATAAAATTTGGTATGTACTAAAACTGTCAAGAGTCTCTTTGCTTTTGTAAATGATTTGGTTTTCATTTTTCAGTTTTTCTTTTAACACATAGCCTGATAACTATATGAGCCCAAAGTAATTTCTCGAGAAAAATTATGAAATGAATCAGAAGAAAATTTAATTTCAATACACCT